TTGTCGCGAGAAATGTTTTCATCAGAAACTCGATCAGTGAGTTGAAGCATTACATTTCATCGTCTTCGCTGCTTAGCAAATAACTAAGTGAGAATATTTAGTAAAAATTCAGTTGCCTTTTTAGTGGTTGCGTTATACTTATCGGTGTCACATAATGCTGTGTCGGGTTTTTTCTTCAGCACATGATGTTTTCGCTGCAGTTGGCTTTTATCCTGAAGTCTTCATAGAACAAAAGAGTGAAAAGCGAAATTTGGATTTTAACTTGTTAGAAACGAGTGGAAGGAGTGTCAAGGAAAGTTTTCTTTCTAATTTATCCTTCCTTTTTTTAAATATCACATAATAAGATAAAACTTAAAAGTAATTACTTCTAGTTTTCTTATTCTGAAAAATTTTTTATTTGATGAAAATGACTTTATCTATCTGTAACTTCTAATTTGTTTGTTTGTTAAGAACTGAAATATATGATAGATTTAGGATGCTAATCATAAGGGAAATTTTTTTTGGTTTAAGTAATTCGCGTACAAATGCTTTTTTGAAATATTTACTAGTTTTCCATAGTAAGATTTATCTTTTAAATCATTATTTCTTGTTCAACTACATAAAGCAACTATAAAAAGGTGGCAGTTCAAGTCGACCGGAACCTTATAAAAGACTACTGCAAATTAGCAGTGGTGATCAATTTTAAGCGATATTCATTCTGTTTAAATTTACAATATTAATCGAAAAAATTTTCCAGAAAATTTAAACAAACAACAATAGCAATGGCTGTCAAATATCAGCAACTGCAGTGAACGATTGACAATACTACCTTACTCAATACTGTTTTTATTTTAACTTGGTATCAACCATTACAGCATATAATACAGCATGTAAATGTAGAAAGCAATTAAAAATGCAAAATAATATTTCTCAGAAGAGGATTTAGTGATAACTGTGATCAGTTTAGTCGGTGTTATTTAGGTGGTTGAACTGCTTTCAGATTTGGTACCACACCGATATTTAGAACAATAAAAAGTGCACTTTTTTCTTTTACAGATTAGCTCTTAATTTTTATCGACTACACATTAGCTACATCCGTTCATTTCTTTCTTTAAAACTGCATACTCTAGTCAGAAAAATCTGTTTTTGTTTTTTTAATTACAGCATATACTTTAAAAGTACTCTGCCGAATTTCACTAAATTTTCCTAGTCCGCAACCGGTCGTTTATCAGTTATTATAGTAACTGCTTACAGCAACGTTGCTGATGCGCAATAAAAAAAACTGATAATACAATTAAATTATACCCTACATATACTGTTTAAGAAGAGCACCTTAGTACCACGATTTTGGTGAATTGACGAGCTGTTTTATGAATTTAATGAATTTTCTAGTTTGCTTGTCTATCTAATGAGTATGTCGCTATAACACTGACGGCAGTAATACAAATAGTAAATTATTTTTTTAATAACTTTTCTGCTACCAACGGTTAGAAATTTGCTTTTTAGCCATCGACTCGAGTTATAGAACAAGCGTGCTAAGGCGTTAATAAAATGCGAGAAAAAACCTTTAATTTACATATTTTTACCAATGCTTTTAGTCAAAAAAAATTTATCTTTTGAGTTTTTTGTTTTAGAAACAACAATAAACAGTTAGGTTCTTCAGATGACTTTTACAACAAATTGTATTAATCAGCATAAGTTGCAAGTAAATTGGCAAACTGTCTTCATTAGATTTTGGTTAGATGCCACTGTACAGTAGGACTTCTGAGCTAAACAGTTTGTTGCCGCATCTTTGCGTGGTGATGCTAAAATTATAATTATTTAGTGTTCGAAAGAAGGGTGAACAGTGTAAACTGAATTAATTTTCACCTTTTCTATACAGCGCTAACTAGCAGTTTGTCAAAGATATTAGTTTCTTTTGATCGACGTTTTTGTGGATATTAATAAATTTTTTCAAGCCTTCCTACTTGCAGCATTTGGAAACTTTTACTTATTAGGCTAAGAAGTGAGATTTCAAGAGCGGGAGGTAAAACGAGAACAATATTTGACGGTTAATAACTGTGCAAGATTATCAATGACTTTAATGTTACTGGCTGCA